CATCGAGAGAAAATTCATCGTGGCAGTTTTTCTTGGGCGGTAAGTTACTCAAAGAGTCCTTCAATTTCTTTAGTTTTAAATTTTTTTCCATCGGGAGAATTTCATCGCGTTGGTTTTTAATTGTTCCATCGAAAGAATAATTCTTCGTCGCAGTTTTATAGATAATATCTTTTTACGATGGAATCAGATAATTTGGGGGAGAAGGTTTGGCATTCATTGCCAGCTGGCTATGCTGGGCACATGGAGCGTGTTCGTTCGTGTTATGTCGAAGAAGCATTATATATTGCGTGCAGCGTTCGGCCTCTGTACGTGCAATCGGTGACGTCATCATGTACCCTGTAGGGGAGGTATAAATTGGGTGCCTTGAGGTCCCCTCATAGTAGCAGTATCATGCGTACGTTGTTTGTTGATGGAATTGACGCGCCGGAGTTGTACATGTTACGAAGGGAGGGGGAAGCATGGAATGGCACGGATCAGGGCGGGGGGCGGGGGGGTGTCAAAAGGCGACATATATGGCGTATATGAGCTTGAGCGTGTTTGTACGTCTAGTAGCACTACAGTACATGCTGCTGCAAGGGACGACAAGGGAAAAACAAAAAAAGACAAATGAAACAAAAAATACAAAGAGAAAATAACCAAACAAANAAAAAACAAAAAAAAAGACATATGAAACAAAAAATACAAAGGGAAAAAAACCAAACAAATAAATATCGAAAGGAAAACATCCTAATTTTCGGCCCCGTCAGTACCACTTGGCTGACACGGTCTCCACAGGGTTTTCCCAGGGTGTGCACCCCGCCATGGTCCCTGAGTGGCAGGGTACGTACAGGGTGTGGGATCAGTACCCTCGCAGGGTACCCACCCTGCCATTGGGTCAAGCCTGCAGCGTAGTCTTTCCAGGGTGACCTTGACAGGGTGAAATCTCCCCACCCTGGCAGGGTAGCCGAATGGCTACGTGTGTGCATAACACGTGCTCCTGCACGTTCGTGCGCTGCTGGTCGGATAGGGGAACAGAACGGGGGAACGAACTATGCAAGACAGCACGGTAAGATACACAGCATGTACATAGTATGTGGTGTCGCTTACCACGAGTGCTTGTGGCTGGTGGTTTACTGCGGTACATACATGCCTTGTTCCAAAGCGCTACGCAAATTCCGGCACGGGCCGGTCATTTCGACCTCGCTGATTGGCCAAGGGCAACGGATCCGTGAAGGAGTGCGTAAGCAAGTGGGGAAGCAGCAGTGAGCACGTACGCACGTAAGCACGTAGTAAGCAGTCTGAGCACCCACATGGTACACGGCTGCACAACTTGCACGGCCTGCTCGACACCATATCATCTGCTGTCCATCGTACCGTGTTGTCTTCGACGTCCCCTTGGTGTCCCTCCCTATCGATGCGACCGGCAGCACATGACTTGTCGAAGGTGCACGCCTAGTCTACATGCCCGAAGTCAATGGCATCTACACAACATAACCAAAGGTTGTTCGCTCTCACTCACGGCTTCTCGCGTCGTTCACCAGTAAGCACACCATGCTACCCCGAAGTAAGGAAGCAACGGACGCAAAACAACGACAAGAAACCGGCCAACCGCAATTGCTGGGTCCGAGTGTAGCCCCGGTTCTACTTTAAAATACAGTTGAGGCCCGCACTTAAGAATATGGCACTTGAGGATATTGTGCTAAAAAAACAAAAAGCCTTTCGCTCACGTCATGGATTCATTGCTAATTTACCTTAGACTTATTTCTTGTGTGATATTAAGAAAAATAAAAATTGCCGGTAAGAACACGTGCTCAGATTGCACCTGCAGCTAAGAATGCACGCCTGAGGTGTACCACTGCTGCTAAGATAAGAACAAGAGCACATTCAGCAGCTGCGAGATAAGAACATTCGAACGGCGAGGGGGGGGCGGGCGGGGGAGTGATCCAAGTACTTATTGGATTTGGCAGGGGGGTAGGTGTGCCGAAGGTGGGTGCATAGACTAGACTAGAAGACTACATACACATCGGAATCTGCAATTTTTGTAGGAGAGGGTGGGCACTGTACACGTTGCGCCCCCTTGGCGGCTGCCAGGCCACGCACGTGCAGCGGGCCACGAGTTGCCTGCCGTACAGGGGGATCATGTCCCTGTCTAATCCCTTATCCCATGGGTTGTTGAAAGATCTTGGCAAACTTGCAGAGTTGAAAGGACGGGGTCTGATTCTTGACCGTCACTTCGAGACGATAAAAACTCACGTGATATGTGAAGGCGGGAAACTCCGTTGCGAAGGAGCGGTGGGACGCCATGGAGAGCTCGTGGGGGTTGAAGCAGAACGGTATCTTCGACGAAGCAGAGTGGATCGCGCAGATTGATGGTGAAATCCAGGGCATTACCAGCAGCACCCGCCTGTCCTTGTGTCGTCCCAACAAGATGCCAGCACCGCACGAGGTGCTGCTGCACCTTCTCAGCACCCACCTGCTGCTGCAGCGGNTCACGTGATATGTGAAGGCGGGAAACTCCGTTGCGAAGGAGCGGTGGGACGCCATGGAGAGCTCGTGGGGGTTGAAGCAGAACGGTATCTTCGACGAAGCAGAGTGGATCGCGCAGATTGATGGTGAAATCCAGGGCATTACCAGCAGCACCCGCCTGTCCTTGTGTCGTCCCAACAAGATGCCAGCACCGCACGAGGTGCTGCTGCACCTTCTCAGCACCCACCTGCTGCTGCAGCGGGTACCGCGAGGAGGAAGGTGGATCGAGGGAAGAACGCCAGGGCGAGAGCTGCGAAAGGCACTTACGGCGGCAACATCTACAACGCGTTCTCGATTGGCAGCGGACAACCGGTGAGTTCGGTTACATGTATATCCGACGCACGCTGTTGCTTTGTTTGCTACATTTTTTTTTTTTTTAATTCCCGATAGTCTAAGCAAGAGAAAAAATGAAAAAAAAGGTAAGGTTAGACTAAGGTTAGACTATTAGTCTAATGTGACCCAAACGAAACAGACGTCATCTCCCCGCTCTCAGCGAGGATGATGTTGTTCTGCGGAGCTTGGTGTGCTTGGAGGAGGGGAAGACGGAAGCGGGG